CCAGTACGAGCTGCCTATAGGCATGGAGCTTTCGACTTGAAAAGCATCTTCTTCCAGCTTCTCCTGCTCAATATCTAGGATGTCATCAACCTGGTGCCTCTCATTGTCCACAGCTTCCTTTTTGACCAAAGCTTCCTGCTTCACAGCTTCTGCAGTATGATAAGCTTGCATCTTAACATGGCTATCCAAGGTTTCTAACCTTCCATTCAAATTTTGCAGAGAAAATCCCATTTTAGATTCAAACGCTCAGTCATCTCTTGCTGTTCTTTCAAGAGCTTCTCTAGCAGAAATTCCATCTCATCTTCATCCTGGTATTTAGCTTGATGCATCCATGAGACTTCATGTACAGAACCAATCTCAGCCTCAACATTCTTGTCACTATCCTTTGCAGCTGATTTTATCATGTGTATATCCAGATTTTTGACACTGTTGCTAGACACCATGTTCTCAATCAGCCTCTTAGCTTCCTCTATGGTCCTTGTCTGAAAGTTTCCGTCGCTTGCAATGTCCATCATAACACCATATCTTACATCAACGCCCCTGTAGAACTTCTTTAATAACTGGATCTCTGTAAAACCATGATGTGGACAATCCTTTTGGTATCCCATAAACCTCTCCCAAGAGCTTCTGAAAGCTTCTGTAGGTCCTTGAGAGAATGTCCAAATCTTATCTCTGATCTCTTCAGCCCTTGCATCATCGAAGAATTGATTAATGAATTCATTCCTGACATCATTCCATGTAGTGAGAGATCCTGGTCGTAGACATCCTGGTCGTAGATACCTCAGCCAACGTTTAGCATCCTCAGAAAGTGAAAATGTGAACAACTTGCAGATGATGTTGTCTCTCGTTGCTGCATTCTTCTGGATTTCAGACGTATAGTCTTCTAGTGTCTGAATATGGTCCAGGGGATTTTCATGAGGCAGACCGCAATAAGGTTGCTCACTTACATGAAGGAGGTATTTGGGATGTACTGGAAATTATGGGACTTCAAGAGGTATTCGGATAGCAGACATGTTGGTATATAGCTCTCCAGGCCTGATCAACTCTGCTAGCGTTCTCTTGCGAGAAACTCTAGCATCCTTAGTGGTAGCAGATGGCTCAAGGATTGCATTTCCTTCCCCATCTATCTTCTGACCTTCTGCATTACACAGATGACTTTCTTGGTCATGCAGGTCTCCTTTCTCATCCCGTACAAGTGATATCGTCGCAACCATGTCTCGCTGCTCAGTATCGATCGATGTTCGAGTTGAAGTATCGATAGATGTTGGGTGGGAAATGTCGTTCGACAGAAGGGTAGCTTCGGTCGATGTGGGTGGGCGAGTATCGGTCAATGAAGACGGTGTCTCGGTCGACTGTGGTTGGCGAGTATCGATCGATATACTGGTGTTGTTACCGATCGATAGGGAACGTTTTTATTTGCGGATCAAACGCTCCAATCTTGTAGGATCTGAGGTGAAAAGTAATTCATCCTTGCTGCTTCTGGTACTGATTGACATGTATGTACCTGAAAGACAAGAAAAAAATTTCAGTAAGTAACTATAACAGTAAATAAAACCTAGACTAAACCTATCAATCAAGTCTAATGGCGAATCCTTGCTCCCCGGCAACGGCGCCTAATTTGATATCACTCAAATGTTTAACCCTAAGGAGTGAATTACTCTCTCAAATAAGAGGTTCAATCGTAGTACTTAGGGATCGAATCACAAGAGAGCAGGAGCACACAATAGACTCTAGAAATCAATGTTAAGCTAGGTAAACAATTTATAAAACAGTAAATAAAAGCAATGTGAACAAAGTAGTTGTTTGATTGGTTGAGTTTATAAACAATAAGAAGAAATAGTTAGACCTAGGGATTTATCAATCAAGAGATTCAAAACAACAATTCAAGATGCTAACAGCTTATAGATTTATTCTAGAACTCGATTTTAATAAGTAAGTAATCCATCTATCAATGCAATTACTAATCAGATGTCTAAGTCCTTGTTCCACCTTTCGCATGCGAACAAGAAGTGAGTATCGATCGATACTATTGCATGAGTATCGATCGATATTACCTCAGACAAGCATTAACGACCTAATCGATAATGTTAAACTAGATTCTAGACCAAATTCTCATATGCACCTAAGTATCTAATCCAGCAGGATTCGGGTTCCGTTAATTGACTGCACTTTCGTGCATCTCAATTGTCCTATGATTCTAGGTTCAAGCAATCAGTCACACTATCGTGGTATCCTAATTACTCCAGATCCTAGTATTACAAATCACCCTGGTGTAGAGATCTATAGATATTCTAGCAATCCTAATTGATATTCAGTTTAACATTAAGCTCATGAAATCCCTAAACCTAACAAGATGAACTACTCAGACATGATAGANCCAGATCCTAGTATTACAAATCACCCTGGTGTAGAGATCTATAGATATTCTAGCAATCCTAATTGATATTCAGTTTAACATTAAGCTCATGAAATCCCTAAACCTAACAAGATGAACTACTCAGACATGATAGAAGAAACACAAATCATAGTCTGAATAATAATAGCATAAGAGAATAAAGATAATTCCAATGGAGTTCGAAGAGGACTCTGAAGGAGTTCCCCTCTTCTCTCCTCTCTAAGAACAATGAAACAAAGATGAAAAAGAAGCGTAGATAGCATGTAGCCGTCAACAATGGCTTGCAAATAACATAAAATAGGGTTTCTGGTCGTCCAAGGGCATTCTGGTAATTTAGGTATCTTCTGGGCTTCAGTTGGTCATGAAATATACTCGGTTCACATTCTGGCATCAATATCGATTGATATGAAGTGTCTCTCATCGATCGATATGCCCATATCTTCCCGACAGTCTTCTCTCGCGAGGCAGACTGACCACTCTTCAGTAAAACGGGCATAACTTATGATCTAACCGTTAGATTGACCCCAAACCGGTGGCATTGGAAAGCTAACGTAAAGCTATATCTTGTGTCAAACGATGGGCGCAATCGCACCATGGGAAGGTCTCCATCCATATCTAAACATCTGACGCGTCTGCGCATTTCTACACTTAAAGGCTCCAAAAGACACCAAAATCACCATATTTCTCCAGAACGTACCTGAACCTGTAAAAACTCTAAATAGACTCTATATTGTAGTAAATATTCATAAAAACATATCAATACCATGACTAAAAGTGGGTCAAAATCATGGTATATCACTTGGTCAGCTTGTCAAGACGGCAAGCTGGATTGGTTCATCCAGCTTGCCGTCTTGGCGAGCTGATCGGTCTTGGTCAGCTCGCCAAGCCGGCGAGCTGGATTGGTCCGTGCAGCTCGCCATCTTTGCGAGCTGATCGGCCTTTGTCAGCTCACCAAACCGGCGAGCTGGATTGGTCCGTCCAGCTAACCGTCTTGGCGAGCTGCTCGGTCTTGGTCAGCTCGCCAAGCCGGCAAGCTAGATTGGTCCGTCCAGCTCACCGTCTTGGCGAGCTGATCGGTCTCGGCCAGCTCGCCAAGCCGGCAAGCTGAAATGGTTCGGCCAGCTCTCCGTCTTGGCGAGCTGGTCAGCTGTCCAGCTTAGGTCGTTTCTTGTCTTCTCGACCCGAGATTCTTTCAGAGATTATAAGGAGAAATAATCGTAGACGTTGATTTCGAGATTACCCTTTTTGACCTCTACAGGAGGTCTTTTTAAATATTTCATACTTTGATACGAGTTTTCCGTAAATTCGTATCTCTGTAGAAAGTCTGCAGTTTTCTTATATGCTTTTTTCGAGGCTTTTAGCTATTGATTCCGTCGTGACCGATTTTGACCCCAACAATTTCAGTTACGCATGTTGTCAGCGGTACAAGAGGAACGTACTACGGAACAAAATATATGTATCCATTCAATAACTTATTCGCTACTTCTTTTTACAGTTAAAATAATTATAAAACTCAAAAAGAAAAAATAAGGTAGAACGGACTGGGCCTTGTACCCAGATATGAAAACAATGAAATATGGTGCGGTCGGCCAATATACCCTTGTGAATAAAATTATTTTTATTGTTTTTAACTATTGTCAATGTTAAACACACACAAAAAGAACCAATAATATTTTATTAAATTAAATTTGACATTGTATTATATATATATATATATATTAAATTAGTCTGTTAAAATAATATTGTTATCAAATAAATTATGAATCTTAAATGAAACTATACAAAATATTATGATAAATTTATTCTGACCCGTAATTTATAAAATACCAGTCCTCTGCTCTGGATTAGTTTATTGTGTCTCTTCTAATGAAAATTTTGTTTTCGCCAACGATGTAGTCTTTGAACCATAGGAATACACAGATTTACATGTACCCTTCTAACCTCAATCTACAGCTTCTTAAAATCCATCCTTAGTAATCATCCTACTATCTAATGTGAATAACCGTGATGGTACTGTTCTATCAGCAGAGATATATGTAATCATAGGCCTATGATCTGAGACTCCAATTTCAAGATATTCATTTTTTGATGATGGAAACATCTCCACGAACTTATTAGCCATACTTCGATCAAAGCAACATTGAACAACATGTATTCATCTTTTTCCCACCTATGAAATCAAATTCACTGTTGATTGAACATCCAGAAATCACAATTACAAACCATCTGTTTAAAGTTATGAAATGATACCTCAGGTCTGATCCTTCCTCTAATCTTCTCATGATTTCCCAAAATTTTATTAAAATCTCCTTCAATGAACCATGGTTGATTCCTTCTAGTAATACGCACTATTTCCAATCTCTCCCAAATATGATGTCTTAATGCAGGATTTAGGTAGCCATACACAAAGAAAATATATAACTGATTTCCATTGATAGCGAGATTACAGTTATTTGAGGATTGGCTAATAACACTTTTCCTTTAAAAATATGAAGGCCGATTGAAAAAAGAAAAAAAAAAAGAGAAAACCCACTACAATGTTCTTCTGAGAAAAAGAATCCTCCACAAAGTTAACAAGAGAGCTCTGAAACTCTTTTTCTTAATCTTACGTGCGTGTTTTACTTGAAGCGTAACTTGTCTTGAAGAGGTGGTTTCGTTTTGTAGGGTCTTTAGGTTTTTTGAATTGTTGAGAAGAAGATTTTTGACGGCCCGAGTTGAGTTCCTGGTACACAAATCCTTTTACACCTGACATTACACTCATCACTCCCTTGCTTCGTCTCGCCGCTTGCAAGGCCTTTCCGTCTATGTCTTCTTCCAATTGCTCTAAACCAACCAAATCGTCTCCAGCGTTCAACACCTGTGTGGATCATAAAAAAGACGACTAACAACATAACTTACTAGTTACTAGAGAGATGCGTTTAAATGTGAAAAGTACAAACCTTTGCGAGAAGGGATAACTGTTCTTCTTGACTGTGGTAGCTTAAGCTTGAACCAGAATCAGGTGGTGGAAGGCTTGTTATAACTTTAAAGCTATAACCTTGGTCGATCAAGAACTGCTGTCTTTTCGTTGAATAATACATTTCCTGCCATTTACAAAAAAAAAAGTGGGATTAGCCTTCACGCGATCATAAACATTTCTTTGTTTATATACCTGCGTATCTGTAGAAACAAGTGAGTAGAAGAATGCATTGTACTCTTCTTTTCCACCAGCCCTTCTATCTTCAATTTTACCCTGTTTTTTTTATTCATCATGGACATATTATAAACTATGTAAAGAAGGAAATAGGAGAGACACAACGTAAAGAGTAAAATATCATCAAAAAACAAACCTTGGCCCTAAGAATACGACCCAAACGCTGAGCCTCTTGACGTCTAGAACCAGCATGTGACGAAATCTGGATAATCACATTAGCTTCAGGAATATCTATGGAGTTATCACCAACCTGCACTCAAAAGAAACAAAAAACCCATCAAATTATAAAGTTCCTCAGTGAACATGGAATTAACAAATGGTAATACACAAACCTTTGACAAGAAGACTGTGTTCACGTGTTTACTGGTCTTAAACGCCTCTAGAATTTTGGTTCGTTCGATATGGCTACAGATTAAACAAAAAGGAGGAACTATGACCGCTTATTAATTTGAATTAATCACGCAAAAGAGTGTTTTTTATACAAGTTCTTTAACGAACCTGGTTGCACCATAAATCATCGGTTTCCTGAGTTTCATAGCATACTCTGTAAGTGCAAAAAGATTGTCTGCGAAGACAATGATTTTATCCCCACGTTGTTGTTCATGGAAACGTATAAGAAACTCACAGGCTCTGAACTTGTTAGGGTTCATGACATAAAGTGCCTGCAGATACCACAAGACAAGATATATGCACAAGTCAGACCAATTGAAGGGGCTCATATGCCATAATATATTCTTAACTGAAGTGGCTCATATGCCATGTACCTGCTTTTTCTTGGAGTTCTCTTTCTTCAAATATTCTGCAAAGAACTCTTTGGTCATAGGACACCATACTTCAGCACACTGAACATTTGCAATGAAGCCTCGTTTAACTAAATCTAGCCAATTGGCTTCATATAGTTTCGGGCCAATGAGGAAGTTCAAATCTGTAATCTTTTCGTCTTCTCTCACAAGAGTGGCTGTAAGTCCTAGCTTGCAGTGGGATTTTGTGATGCTGATAACTTTCCTAAACATTTGGGCCGGAACCACATGCACCTATAAAAATAACATAACTCTTGATTGTCTTCATGGGCTTAATACTGGAATGCCTTTTCAATGAACCACATGACCTTTTCCGCAAAGACACAAATAACAATGAAAACTCTTTGATTACCTCGTCCATGAGCAGCAACCCCCACTCCCTGTTTCTCATTTCTTCAATGATCTTCTCTGATTCCTCAGATCGTTTACCAGCAAAGGCAATCATATTATAGGTTGTAACAACAACACCAGCATTTCCACGGAATCGTTCTTTACTATCCGAAGTGAAACGGCATATTTGGTCATCTCTGGTAGTAGACCACAACTTGAACTGGAAGGCCCACTGATCCACCGAGACAGCATTCGTCGCCAAACAAAGACAACTCTTTTTTATACGAGCTGCTGCTGAAACACCAACTAGAGATTTACCAGCACCACAAGGCAACACTATAATCCCAGATCTTGCCCGTCCTGCAAAATAAAGATTCTATATCAGTCACAGGAAATCACAAAGATTATCTATTAGGAATTCAACGTGTAGCAGCCTACGGGAACATAGAAATCTAAATATCCCATCAAGTTAAGCAAACGCGGCACTAAGAAGGCAACAACAAGGACGTAGGCAGTTATACCGTTCCCAAACATTTTGCTCAAACTTTTCTCCTGGTATGGCCTCGGTTGCGCATGGGGCTTCAGTTCCATGTCAAGATCAGGATTAACCTGATAGACACCATCAAGTTATTTAACAATCATGAACATATGGTAATGAAAACTAGGCTTAAATTGTATATGTAACTCACGTTGTCGTTCCTGAAGTCGTATTCCTCTAGCATAGGGTAATTCAGTTCGCTTGGCAAGCAACGCTGCTTCACAATCTCCACCTATAAGAACATGAACAATGTCACTTAAGTAAAGATTGTTATATATTTAAGTGAAAGGGTTTAAGTGAAAGGGTGCAATGAACCATTGCAATTGTTTATGTGAACAATCACAACTACATAAATAAAAGCTTGCAACTATTGATGATTACAACCTTTGGTAATAACCATATTAATGATTGCAACCTTTGGTGATAACCATATTGATATTTGCAACCTTTGGTAATAACTACCTNCTTTATGATTGCAACCCTTGGTGATTAACCATTACAACTCTTTAACTAACCATTGCAACTCTTCATTAACCATTGCAACCATTAGTATTAACCATTGCATCTCTTGGATTAACCATTGCAACCATTGGTTGCAACCTTTCATTCTCTATATAAAGGGATGTAGGCATTGGCAAATGAGACAGAGAAAAAATCAGAAACTTATGGCTAGTATATTTGTGCGAGAGATTCATCAAAGTCTGAAAAATTGTAAATGTTTGAGTGAATAAACTTTTAAAGATGGAGAAAGAAGATGAAACAATGGAGAATAATACATCTTTGCTATATTCTCAAAGGTATGTTAGTTTCATTTTAAATAGTATTGCTAATGATGATCGAACACGGTATCACCAAAGAGTGCCATCAAAGGATGCCATCAAGGGATGCCACCAAGGGATACCACCAAAAGATGCCATCAAGGGGTGTCATCCAAAGGGTGTGATCCTATCGTGAACCAAGGGATGCGAGTGTATCTTGATCCAAGGGATGCAAGTGCATCGTGATCCAAGAGGTACGAACGTATCGTGATCCAAAAGGTACAAATGTGTCGTGATCCAAGAGGTACGAATGTGTCGTGACCCAAGAGGTACGAACGTGTCGCGACCCAAGAGGTGCGAACGTTTCGGGACCGAAAGAGTGCGAACGTGTCGGGACCGAAAGAGTGCGAATGTGTCGGGACCGAAAGGGTGCGAACGTGTCGGGACCGAAAGGGTGTGAACGTGTCGGGACCGAAAGGGTGCGAACGTGTCGGCACCGAAAGGGTGCGAACGTGTCGGGACCGAAAGAGTGCAAACATTTCGGGACCGAAAGGGTGCGAACGGTTCGGGACCGAAAGGGTGCGAACGGTTCGGGACCCAAAGGGTGCGAACGGTTCGGGACCGAAAGGGTGCGAACGATTCGGGACCGAAAGGGTGCGAACGGTTCGGGACCGAAAGGGTGCGAACGGTTCGGGACCGAAAGGGTGCGAACGGTTCGGGACCGAAAGGGTGCGAACGGTTCGGGATCGAAAGGGTGTGAATGGTTCGAGATCTAAAAGGTGCGAATGTACCATCACCGGAAAGGTGTGAATGTAATGTCACCGAAAATGTGTGAATGTAACGTCACCGAAAGGGTGCGAACGTAACGTCACCGAAAGGGTGCAAACGTAACGTCACCGAAAGAGTGCGAATGTAACATCTCCAAAAGGGTGTGAATGGGGTGCAAACATAATGTTACCAAATGGGTACGAACATAATATCATTGATACTTATAAATGCAAGTAATTAGGGTTAAGGCCGAGCCATCATGAGTGGTAAACATATTGTTCATGGTCGGGTGCTATGGACTATGATCCATGATATGGATCGATGGCTCAATAAGAAGTGTAAATGAAGTAGCCTTAAGATTTTATTGGACCTTGTAATAAGTATAAAATGTATACATATATTTGTATGGTAAAGAAAGCACCTAAGCATTAACATCAAATGTTTAATGAGATTGTCTTATCAAGTGGTTTGAGTTAAACTACTAGGATAAGTGTTTATATAACAAATTGATGAATTCAGTAATGGAATAATCATTTGCTTATATGTTGATGACATATTGATCTTTGGCACTAGCCATAGATAAGTAGAGTTTATAAAAGCATTATTGTCATCAAGTTTTACAATGAAAGACATGGGGGAGGTGGATGTGATTCTTGAAATTTGAATCACACATACAAATAAAAAACTATCTTTAACAAACTCTCTTTATATTGAGAAAGTTGTTAAGACGTTTGATTGTGAGATTGTTCTCCAATGACAACTCCCATGGATGCAAGTGTGAAGACTGGGCCTTATAAAGGACAATAAACATCACAACTCGAGTGTTTGAATGAAAACATAAATTATGGTTTGTTTTATGTCAAATTTCCTTCGTTGGTAGAAGAGTATTTAGATGCAAATTTGATTATCAATATAGAAGATCATTCTTCTATAAGTGGTTGAGTGTATTTGCTAGGGGAGGTACCATTTCATGGGCTTCCAAGGAGCAAATTTGCATGAAAAAATTGACTATAAAATAAAAATTTGTAGCATTAGCATATGCTAGTAAACAGAATATTGAATAAATAATTTAATTTATAAGATTCTGTTTTGGCCGAAATAGTATCACCAGTTTCTATCTCTGATAATTAAAAAGTCTTGGTTAAAGTTTATAACTAAGTGTATAATGGTAAGTCGCGACACCTGGCGTTAGATATAGCGCAGTATGTGAACTGATCACTCACGAGGTGATTACCAAAGAGATTGTTTGGTCTGAAAGAAAGGTAGCATATCATTTGACGAAATGATTAGCTAAAGACTTAGAAGTTGAGTCGGTTCAAGGGATGAGTTTAAAGTCCATTTGAAATCTTTAATGGTGGGATACCCAATTCCCCTCTAATACGACGTTAGAGGCTGAATTCAATGTGGAAAGCCTACACTTAAAGATTGAAGCACTTTTTTTTTTTTTTTGCCATCCCAAGGTATGTGCTTGGACCTGCAAGAAGGGATAGGTTGAAATATTATTCTTAATAAATACTTTGAAAAAGTGCATTTGCAGGTGCATGAGTGAAAGTATTTACCTATATGAATGTGAAGTGATGCCGCTTCAATAAGCTGGGACTTGGCTTTGTATACATTCATGAATGGATTGGGACANGATATTTGCAACCTTTGGTAATAACTACCTTTATGATTGCAACCCTTGGTGATTAACCATTACAACTCTTTAACTAACCATTGCAACTCTTCATTAACCATTGCAACCATTAGTATTAACCATTGCATCTCTTGGATTAACCATTGCAACCATTGGTTGCAACCTTTCATTCTCTATATAAAGGGATGTAGGCATTGGCGAATAAGACAGAGAAAAAATCAGAAACTAATAGTTAGTAAGAGAGTAAGAGAGAAATAGATTCATTGTTCAAAGATCATCAAAGATCTTTGAAGAAACACATATAAGCATTAAAACTCTATTTGTTATTCTTGTATCTTAGCCTAGAACAAGAATGTGACTTTGATTGTCTTATCCTACAAAGAGATTTCGTGTAACCCAAAGGCTTGGAATAGGGTCGAAATACTCTTTAAGGAAAGTGACCTGGTGCGCGATTCAATCATTATCCAAGTATATAATTCACAAATTTATAGGTTACAACCCGAATATCCAACAAAGATCATCCACCATTACAAAAAAAACTCACGAAGACAATTAGTTTTCACACACCATTGGGGGAAATTTACCTGTGCAGGGTCTATCTCAAATGAGTGGGTTTCTTTCTCTTCTGCTGCGGCTGCCAGTTCTGCCGCATTCAACAGCTCCCCAGGTCCTGCTTCAAGTTCACCACTTGTTTTGCCGATCGTGAATCCATCACCACCATATGGCTAGCAAAAGGTTAATCTTATGTAAATTTGACATAATGTGGACAACGCAACGGTATAAGAATTCATCATTCAATGAATCAACGGGTTTAAGAAAAAGGTTAATGACATCGTTCAAAAGAACTTAAAGTATATGTGTATCTCTGCCACACACATAGGTGAAAAATATGCACTAAATGGAAGAGTTGAACGTACATCAGAATAAAATCTAGCTTTGCTTATAACACCATCATTGCCAAGCTTTTTCAGCACCTGCAATCAATTATTAACAAACAAAATAATTGAGCAATCAATGGAAAAAAAATGAAACAAAAGTCCGAATACACAAGACCAGAGAAAAGAGGATAAGACTACCTCTGGGAATGGGATTCAATAAAATACCGATTCGTTTTCAAAACCAGCTTTACTTTGCCGTAGTTGGCAGTAGAAGCCTTGATGAAATCAATCATATCATTGGGTAGCTTAGTCTTAGACAGCTTATTCAAAACAGAAATTATAGTTTCTGTCTCAAGACCAACGGAAACAGCAGCATACAGAGAGTGTGGTGTTAACTTATACTCGTGCATTGACTCTGGCCTGAAATAAACCATATAACCACCACGTAAACAAAGAGAAACTATTCACTATATATAAAGAGCAGTGAGCACCTGCAGACGGGTTCAGCAATGGCGATAAGAAAGTCATAAGCCTGCTTGTATAGAGGAGAGAAAGTTTCCAGGAAAATCCTGCCATCACCACAAGCCCACAAAGGTCTGTTCACATGATCTGGCTTCAACTCCAATTTGCTAAAATCCGTATTCATCTTCTCTCCTTCACCTACAAAACAATACCATTCAACAATTTCTTAACATACACACTATATATAGAAGCAGAGCCGTGCGAAGACATTTTGATGCCATAAACTAAGATATGGGCAATTGTCCAAAATAGCACATTTGAAAGTTTATGTCTCAAAAATAGCATTAGAAGGAGAAAATCACAAAAATAGGTTTCATTTAATAGATCATTTACCCTTTTGCCCCTTTTTCTTTTCTAATTATATTAAATAAAAAAATTAAAAAAATAGAAAATCTCAATGTCGAGTCTCGATTCATCTCTCCGACTTTTGACGTTGTATTCCATCTCCACCGCCATCAACTCCGCCGTCATCAGCTAAGTCGCCATCAGCTCCGTCGCCATCATCTCCGTCGTAATTAGCTCCGCCGTCATCAGTTCCATCGTCATCAGCTACGCCGGCACTTGGTGTGGCAGTCAAAGAGATAGACCAACACAGGTTAATCATCGTCTCCTTGTAAACCTCTCTCAAGTCAATGTACAAATCTTCAAATTTATGAATCAGATCTTCCTTTTATCCCTCAGGTTAATCGTCGCCTCCTTGCCTTAACACTGAAAGTTCAGAAGGTAAACACACAAAGAACTCTTCAAATTTAGAAAAAAAAGCGGAACCATACATTTTGACTTTGGGAGTTTGTTAAAACTTGCAGGTTTGTGATGAAATAGAACATTTAATGGATGATGATGACGACATGGCTGAGATGTATTTGACTGAGAAGAAAGAAAGATCAGAGGGCTCATGCTTCAGTGGAGTTGGAAGACAACCTCCATGAGGACTTTGAATCTTCTAGAATAGTTTCAAAGTCTGCGCCGGTTTCACCTGTTGGTTCACTTAGTGGAAACCTTGGGAAGCTTCAAAGAGCAATCAGCAGCGTTGTTGGCTCACACAGAAGCTTGTTAAGCTCCTTTAGCAGCGGAGAGAACATTGACCAGCTAGAGATATTGCTAGAAGCCTACTTCGTCGTTGTTGATAACACACTCAGCATGATTCCAAATACTTTCCAACGACGAAGAAGGGAGAGCTCAAGGAAGAACTCAATTCACAGTAAGTACAAGGTTCTTCTCCCCTCATTTACTTTTTATTTTATGGATCTGTGATCTATGTGATTTTTAAACGATTCTCATCTCTCCCTTCAGTGATTCGTTTTAAATTTTTAGCAATTGATTTCTCGTACATCTATGTGATCCTGGACTCGATCTGATTGGTACATTATCGTTGTGCTATTTAGTGGAATTTGGTTTTTGGTATTACATTTGGGGGAGAGTGATGATGTTGTCCGTTATGGATAATGTGTTCAATTCGCAGACACTTAGTTTAGATTGGTGGATTTATTGTTTTGACGATCAGTGACTGTTGAATCATCAAACCATTATCTTCTTTCCTTCAAGGAGGAAACTGTGACGTTTATGTTGATATGTGACGTTGCTCAATCTGTCTTTTTTATTATCATCTTGGCATCTACAAGTGTTGATATTTCAGTATAATTAGTCTAGCATAAAGTTGATTCAAGATGGCGGCATGTGTTTCTCGTTTTGACTCAGTCACGTGACTTTTATTTTATCTTGTTTGTGTTTGAAGGATAAGAGGAAAGATGCTGTTAAGAAGGTTATTGCGGCAATGACTGTTGGAAAAGATGTTTCATCTCTTTTCACCCATGTACTCAACTGCATGCAAACTGAGAATCTGGAGCTTAAAAAGCTTGTTTACTTGTATCTCATTAACTATGCTAAAAGCCAGCCTGATCTTGCTTTCCTCGTTGTTAATACTTTTGTTAAGACCATTCTCCTCAAGTCTTTGTAAGTTTCATAAATCGAGTCCATCAGAGCAGCTGCAGAGAAGAGATATATAGAGGTTAATAAAATAAATAATCAAACTACGTTTTGCGCCTAGAAAGCCTAAACACTCACCAGTTAGAGGGAGAGTATTGTTGACGAATACAAACAAGGCTTTACCAGGAGACAAGTGAAATCTAGCACTCAAGATGTACATGAATTGTCCAACCGACATATCTCCTTGAACCAGAAACCTAAAAGACAGCTCAGGAAGGATTTGTGTAGTTTCAGAAAAGCTTTCCAGATATTCAATGATAACAAATTTGTTTTTTTTTTTTTTTTTTTTTGCTTTGTGTCTTCTTGTTGGATTACGCATGTTGATATCTTTGGTAGCCTCTTGAATTTGCTTATGAAAATTTTAGACAATTGCTTGTGCTTGTGAAGCTGTGTAGTGTTTTTAAAATTTCAGGAAGGATTTATGTAGTTTCAGGAAAGCTTTCCAGAAAATTCGATGTTAACAAATTTGAACTTTTTTTTGCTTGGTGTCTACTTGTTTGGCTTAGGCATGTTATATCTTTGGTAGGCTCGTCAATTTTCTTATGGCATTGTTAATCGCTTGTTTGTGCTTGTGCTTGTGAAACTGTGTACTATTATTAAGATTTCAGGAAGGATTTGTGTAGTTTTAGGAAAGCTTTCCAGATATTCGATGATAACAAATTTGTTTTTTTTTTTTTTTTTTTGCTTTGTGTCTTCTTGTTGGATTACGCATGTTGATATCTTTGGTAGCCTCTTAAAATTGCTTATGAAATTTTTAGACAATTGCTTGTGCTTGTGAAGCTGTGTAGTGTTTTTAAAATTTCAGGAAGGATTTATATAGTTTTAGGAAAGTTTTCCAGAAAATTCGATGTTAACAAATTTGAACTTTTTTTTTTGCTTGGTGTCTTTTTGTTTGGCTTAGGCTTGTTATATCTTTGGTAGGCTCGTGAATTTTCTTATGACATTGTTAATCACTTGTTTGTGCTTGTGCTTCTGAAACTGTGTACTATTATTGAAATTTCAGGAAAGATTTGTGTAGTTTCAGGAAGGATTTGTGTAGTTTCAGGAAAGCTTTCTAGATATTCGATGATAACAAATTTGATTTTTTTTGCTTTTTTTCTTCTTTTTTGGATTACACCTGTTGATATCTTTGGTATCCTCTTGAATTTGCTTAGGAAACTTTTAGACAATTGCTCGTGCTTGTGAAGCTGTGTAGTGTTTTTAAAATTTCAGGAATGATTTTTGTAGTTTCAGGAAAGCTTTCCAGAAAATTCGATATTAACAAATTTGAACTTTTTTTTTGTTTGGTGTCTTCTTGTTTGGCTTAGGCATGTTATATCTTTGGTAGGCTCGTGAATTTTCTTATGACATTGTTAATCTCTTGTTTGTGCTTGTTCAGGATGGCCATCCTAAATTGGAACTTAATATTCAAAAAAAAAAAAACATAATGGAAAGGATCTATAAGAAAATTCATTGGCTATAGAAATCACCAAATATAATTCAGTGTCTACAAAATAGAGAACACATATCAAACAAATAACACTAAAATAGGACAGCTTAAAGCATTTTCAATAATTCTATCTAGAAAGTGTTAAATGTGAAACTGTGTAGTTTTTCTAAATTTTAGGAAGGATTTATGTAGTTTCAGGAAAGCTTTCCAGAAGATTTGGTGTTAACAAACTTTGAAATATTTATTACTTGGTCACGCAGGATAGTAACACGATGGGAGTTTTATTACCTCTCAGACTAACACTAACTGAGCTGAAGTATAAGATTGGTTCAGAGTCAAGGCAAAACAGTTAATAATTTATGTTGATTATTGAAAATTTTCAGATTTCTAAATGTAACAATAAAGCATTGTACATATGTCGTGGTTTAACCAAAATAAGAAGATTTGGTGTTAACAAACTTTGAAATATTTATTACTTGGTTACGCAGGATAGTAACACGATGGGAGTTTTATTACCTCTCAGACTAACACTAACTTAGCTGAAGTATAAGATTGGTTCAGAGTAGGGGGCGGACGGATCGGATATCCGGATCCGGATTCGGCGGATCCGTAAAATTGCTATCCGGATATCCGGGGTCCGGATATCCGGACTAAAACTCGAATACTCGCGGATATCCGGATCCGTTTTTAAAAATAAAAAAATTTAAATTAAATTAAAAAATTAAGTATTTATTTATTCTATTAAAAATTATTATTTTGCAACAAGTTAAAATAAAGTAATATAATTTAATAATAAAATTAAGTTTTAGTTATTTTTAATAAAAAGTAAAAAAAATATACCTATATAAATGCAATTATATTTTAAATATTTTAAAAATATTTAGTGGGCTTCCTGAAAATTTAATTTTAAATGCAATTGATTTCTCCCTTAGAAGCAGAGTTTCAAGCCTTACTAATTGCGATACAAAATTGTTGGAGCCGAGGTTATACAAATGTCATCTTTGAAGGAGATAATCAGAAAATGATAAAGATACTCAACAACAATGATCTCCACTTTGGAGGTTATAATTGGGTTCGTGAGATTAGATGGTGGTCTACTAAATTCCAGTCCGTTGAGTTTAAATGGGTTAGAAGACAAGACAACTTGGTGGCAGATAAATTGGCCAAAGGTTTAACTCAACCGGGAGTCACCTTTAAAACTTTTAACTATGTTCCAATGTTTATTACTTCTTTGTTGCACCAAGACTATGTATGTTCACATTTAAATGATTAAGGAAGTAAGAAGTTAAAAAAAAAAAAAAAAAAAAAAGGAACTTTGGTATTTAGGAAGGGCTTCCTGAAAATTTAATATTTAATTAAAAAAGAAAATGTTATGATAGCAAGCAAAAAAAAATTAGGAAGGGCTTCCTGAAAATTTAATATTTAATTAAAATAAAATGTTAGGATAACAAGTAAAATATTTAGAAAGTTCTTTTTGAAAATTTAATATTTAATAAGGAAAAATGTTAGGATGGCATGAATTAATAACAAGCTTACATATATATTATATTTATGATAGTATGTAAAATATTTAGGAAGGTTTCCAGAAAATGTTATATTTAATTAAATATAAAATGTTAAGATAACAAGTAAGATATTTAGGAAGGAATTTCTAAAAAAAAAAATATTTAATATATAGGATAGATTTTGGCACTTTCAGGATGGGTTTCCAGAAAAATAAAATAAGTGTGTTTTCTTGCATAAGTTTGTTTTCGAAGAGAATCAAAAGCGTGTAAGGAATGTTAGACAGTCCTTCTTCAGGATGGTCATCCTTAATTGAAACTTAATCTTCCAAAAAAAACATAATCAAAAGGATCTATAAGAAAATTCATTGGCTACAAAAATCACCAAATAGAGTTCATTGTCTACAAAATATAGAACACATATCAAAAAGATAACATTAAAATCGGATAGCTTGAAGCATTTTCAATAATTCTATCACGAAAGTGTTAAATGTGGTATCATTATAAAACACCTATGTTATATAGGATAGCAAGTAAAACATTTAGGAAGATTTTTCCTAAAAATGTAATATTTAATTAAAAGTAAAATGTTAGGATAGCAAGTAAAATATTTAGGAAGGATTTTCTATAAATATATATTTAATTAAAAAATGTTATAATAGCAAGTAAAATATTTAGGAAGGGCTTCCTGAAAATTTAATATTTAATTAAAAAAGAAAATGTTATGATAGCAAGTAAAATATTTAGGAAGGGCTTCCTGAAAAATTAATATTTAATTAAAATAAAATGTTAGGATAACAAGTAAAATATTTAGAAAATTCTTTTTAAAATTTAATATTTAATAAGGAAAAGTGTTAGGATAGCATGTATTAATAACAAGCTTACATATATATCATATTTATGATAGTATGTAAAATATTTAGGAAGGGTTTCCAGAAAATGTAGTATTAAATAAAAATAAAATGTTAAGATAACAAGTAAGATATTTAGGAAGGATTTTCAAAAAAAATAAATATTTAATTAAAAAATAAAAAGTCAGAACAGTAAGTAAAATATTTAGGAAGTTCTTCCTGAAAATTTAATATTTAATTAAAAAGAAAAAATTTGTTATGATAACAAATAAAATGTTTAGAAAAGACTTCCTTGAAATTTAATATTTAAAAACAAAAAATGTTAAGATAGTAAGTATTGAAAACTTATAGGAAATAATGTTGGTTATTGAACATTTTCAAGTTGACTTAAGCCATCTGTCGATAACCTGTTAAAAAGATCAAAACCAAAAAAATTCTATAAAACGCGTAAGGAAATACTAAAAAAATATTTTTCTGGATGGCTATCCTATATTTGAACAAAACCTTCCAAAACAAATCAAAAAGCCGACCAGAAAATCTTTAAATAATTCTTATTCTGATTCTTGTTCTGGATTGCTATCTTAAATTTGAGAAAAGTTATACAAAACAATTCAATAAAACATTTACAAGGCAATCCTAAATTTGACAAAGTCTTCTAAAACATTTTGGTTATAAAACGAAGGAGCTGAAACCCAAGAAGAACTGCTGTCTCCACGGTGGAACTCACGGAAAGCTCTGGTTGATGATGACTGTCCAATGCCAGCATCAATAGCTTTTCTTTTACAACCAGCTCTAGCATTGTCATTAACCTGACTAAGACCAAGATGACCTGTGACTGGATTCATGTCCTCAGCACGCTCAATATATTCTGCATTCAGATTGACATCACGCACAACTTGGTTTCCATTAGACGGTTGTTGCATTAACGAAGGGTTCAACTCTAGCTTGTCGTTTCTTCATTCCTCAAAACGTCCCATTTGCATCCATTGCTCACTAGGGGCTTCGTTCTTTGGACCACTAGAGCTAGCTTCACCAAGGATAAACCTGTGCAAGTCACGTTGCTCATGATACACTGAGTTTGACAAACTAGTGTTTGTATCAGCAGCAGCTGAACTCATGTAGTTCTGCAGATCATTATCCCAACGAATCAGATGTTCTACCACAGGGTTGCTAGATGTAGAACCGATACTTGCCCTCTCTCCCTGCATCCTTGTCACTTTCCACAACAATGTAACCGATGCTGGAAACTGAAACAAAACCAACAATGTAAACATGTTTTAGTTATTTAAAAAAGCTCAACAATCTTGTCACTGGAAGTATTCTATTGTCAAAAGAAAAGGAGAATAGCATCTTCTCTGCGAGCATACTTCTCCCTTTTTTTACCGTCAGCCCTTGCGAATTTTCCACCTTCTCAATGCAGTCATCAAAATCCCCACACCTAAACGGCTTCACCCGCCTGGACTTCTCTAAGTTGTACCAATCCCTAAAACAATGAACAAACAAAAACACTTTCAGTAATCAATCCAAAGCAAAGAAGAGTTTTTTTTATTATTATACAGATTCAAGAAGAGACTTACACACTTGCATCCTCTCTTCCAAGAAGCTTCACCGGAGTTACAGATCGTGGAGAATTGATAATGGTAGAGTCAAGATCATCTTATCCCAGTATCCTCCCTGGCCACCACGAGCCGTTCCTTCTCCTCACCCACACAATTGACCCCACCGTCCAATCCACAACACCTGATCCTGAGCTCCCCATTCCTCTCCCACTCTCTATATTCCTCACAACACTCAAGATCACACTTTCTATATAGGTTTCTTCTACGTCACTACCAGAAACAGACCTCAAAAGTCTACCATTCTCTATGAAGTAACAGGTTCTTCTACGGTCATGTATTGATCTACCTGGAAGTTCATCCGCCGTTACTAGAATCGAATCGCGGCGGAGAGAGAAGGAATGGAAGGAAGTGAATCCAGCGAGGAAGAATCTTTGCATTCAGATTTGTAAAGTTGCCGTAACGAGAGGATCGGTCTCGGAGTGGAGCACGGAGGCTAGAGTCTCGAGGACGAGTCGCGCATGGTCAGATGAGATCGGGAGCGCGTCGGAGATTGTGGAAGATCCGACGCGGTGGTTGTTAATAGTCGTGAAGATGTTTTTTTTTTTAATTAATCAAAGAGAGGTTATAAGAGTAAATGATTCCCTTTAATGAAACCTATTTTTGTGACTTATTGTCTTGAGTGCTAGTTTAGGAACCAAAACTTGATTTGGTGCTATCTTGGTCTTTTATTCTTATAATTATGAAAGATAGTAATCAATCAATGGTTTATGACTAAAGTATATATATAAATATGAAGTTACAAATAAAGTATATATTAATATGCCCTATATATTTCTTAACAAAAAATATTTGACAGAAGCGAATGCTTCTAATTTTGTTATGTACGCACGGCTCTGTATAGAAGCATAGAAAGTAATCAAGTTTACCATCACGAGAATCAGCATCAGCACCGAGATAGTATTCTTCGTTTCGGATGTTCTTCATCTTTTGATCATCCTGATCAGGGTTTAATTACATAAACTAACACTGAGAAAGAGGCTTTTAAAATTGATTCTCAGTGAAGAACGAACCTTGCCACCGTATTTCATCTTCTTGCTTGATCCTTCTCTTCCACCTGAACATCAAAATTCCCCCAAGTGTTGGCATATATTTTCATTAAAAAGTTCTATTGGATAATCACCAAAAAGATCAGTAGTGACTATAACCGTTTCCCATATCCACTATCTTATTCGAACCAGTTCAGAGATTATCTATTGCTTTGTCTTTTCTTATCAATCCGTAAAAGGCCAAAATTACAAAGGAAAAACCGCTGCGGCGTGAAATTCCTTTTTAAATTAAGCGGCGAATCTCCGGAGAATATTCTGATTAGGGCTCGGGTTGGGTTGGGTTGGGCTGTGTTCAACTAAAGTCCCATGCAAAAAGAGCGAGTCCGTGATTGGTTTTTATGAGAACGACGAAGAGGCGGTTAAGCGGACGAGACAAGCTCTGAGAATCTCTATAATATTATTTGAGAAGTCAGTTTCTTACGTGTCGCGCTCACGTTAACTCTCGTGATGGTTGATTACATGGATACCCTTAATGAATTGTTAGATTTTAAGTTTATTATTAATTTTTTATTTAGTTTATTTTTTACTTTTTCCAAATAACATATGTAATAAAAGGAAATATTTCAAAAAAAATTTAACAGATTTAAAAACGAAAATATATGTATATAATATGACTTTATTAAAAAGGAAAGTTCACAAAATAGTAATATACCCCATTAATATATATTTTTAAATAACATATAATACATTTTCAAAATAATAAAATATATATGTTTATGAACACCCAAAATTTATCAGTTACACTTTATTTTCTAATATTTTTAGAAATCAACATATAATTTAATAAATATTATGAAAATACTTGTATAAATGAACGATAAATAAAACTAATTTGATTTTACTTAACTAAAATAAAGAATAAATAAATATTATGACAATACATGTATATTTAAGCGATAAATATAACTAATTTTATTGGACATAACTAAAATAAAAGTAATTATACTTCAATTTTAACTCAACATACTCACAACATGAATGACTCGAATCTAATTTATATCCAAAATTAAACATCTAACTATAATAAGAACATATAATTTTATAGTAATAATAACCTATTTAATTTTATACATATAAATTAGATGTTGACTCAAAGCATATTAAAAAGAAAAAGAAAATATTAACCAATTACAATTTATTTGTACAATTTATATATAGGCATGAGACTTCAAAATATTATCATTATATTCATTTATGTAATTTTGAATCAAACACTTCAGCTTATTATTTATTTTAGTTTAAGCACAATATATATATATATAAGTTATATATAATTTAACTATAATATATTTACATATCTAAGAATATATTTACATATCTAAGACAATAACCATCCGAAATGAAAATAAGAAAGTTAATCAAAGTTTTATTATATTTACAATAAAAAAATATTATAGCTGAATTCGAAAAATAAATATTATCCAATATACCAAATTGATAACCAAACCAACTATTGATCCAAAAAATAACTAAACGGACAATAATATATCCAAAATCATATGTATAATTAGAATAATATAATATTTATTAATATAAATTATACATATAAATTGATACAAAACTAAAACTAAATATCAATCAATTATTATAAAATTTTATTTTTATGAATATTTATACCCGTGCATGAGCACGGGAAAATCACCTAGTTTATAAAAAAAGTTAGATTTAAATACTCAACTTTAGTCAATTAGCCAAAATAAACGAAACTAGATTTTGACCCGCAATTGAGAAGCGCGGATTTTATTTTAACTGTAACAAAATATATCAAATAATTCTATTTTTATTATATGATAGTTTTATATGTGAAATTTGATGTATATTTAACATTTTAGTATAATCTTTTTATTGAGTTTTGCATACCGAGTCAGTTTGTGGTTGAACACATAATAGAAAAAAAAAAATACTATGAGAGTATGAAAAATTTAAACACATATTACATTTTGACCCGCGCTTGGATTAAATAGTTTATTAAAATGATTACATTTAGGATTTTTGAACAATAAAATTAATATTCAATTTTGACCCGCGATTCTTATATAGTTTATTTATGTTAGTTAAAATAATTACATCTATGATTTTTGAACAATAAAAATAATATTCAATTTTGACCCGCGCATCTTATAGAGTTTATTATGTTAGTTAAAATAATTACATCTATGATTTTTGAACAATAAAAATAATATTCAATTTTGACCCGCACTTAAGAAGGGCGGGTATTTTTTTGTTGACCATAAAATAAAATATCAAATTAATTTATGAGAGTCAAAGGTAACTCAAAAATATTTTTTGTGAGAGTCAAAGATAACTCCAAGTATATAAGGAAGAATTTAAATATTGCAAGATTCTGGAGTAACAAATGAGTTTTGTTACTCCAAGTATCTCATTTTCTGTTTTAATATGCAGCAAATATAGTATAAATCGATTTTCATTAATTATATCATAGTATATTGATCTGTTTTATACAACACTATGTATTTTTCATATAAATAAATCAGTCAATAAATCGTCAAGAAAAAAAAATATAATTTAAAATAAAAATTATTGGGTGAAAACAAAACGCGATTTTGATTCAACCAGGATTAACGCTCGAGAATCATCATAACGCGATTGTCAAAACATAACTAAAAACATTATTTCTAAACAAACATAATCCTAAAATTGATCGATGGAGAATCATCATTACCTCTGCGATTTTGATTCAGCCAGGGTTAACGCTCGAGAATCATCATTACATGTGCGATTATAAATAAGTTTTATAATTTAGTCTATAATATTATAAAGTGAAAACATTTTTGTTGAAGAATATAAATACCGTTGTTTAAATTCATCTGTCTCTCGTATTTTAGGATTAACAGTCTCGAGGAATGTATGTCTTGTTACACGAGGCATGAATCTTACTTCCCTATATAAACATAAAACATTATCATTTAGGTTAAAATTTAATGAAATGAAGATATCTAAATCAAAAATCTATACATAACGATAAATTTACATTTGCATCACAAAAGATTAGTTCCATGGACTCCCTTAGTCTTTCATGAAATGTCTTCACGTATGAAGAATTTTGAATTGGATGCGAAAGCAGTCTTCCTCGGTTTTATATCGCTCAAGAAAGACAACTGCAAATTATTCGCCATTTTTGTTTTAGGTTTTCGAGAGATGATAAATATAATGGTTAAGAGAGGCTATATTTATAATATGTAGGGACGATATACAATTAGGTTACGCGAATGTAGGGGAGAATATTTCATACGTTTTTTTAAAATATCTCTTTTAAGGATAAGGAATATTTCTTGAATATTTTGAATTAGTTAGTAAGTTTAAAGTTTAACAGTTAATGGTAATCCAACTGCGGTAAATTACCGAAATTTATGGAATCTACGATATTTATTTTGGTTAATCTATAACTTGTAGGTAAAGCAATTTCTTTATGTTAGTAGGAAGATAATTATAGAAAACCGTATTTGCAATATTTTCTTAACAAAACGTATCTCGTCCTGTCAACATGAGAGTGATGATATATCTTTTTTGGTTGATATCACTATATGTCGTCTAACTATGGTATATAAATACATGTAAATTTAGTGAGATATGAAAACATATTTCATATATGAAGAAAAACATGAAATGAAGGTCTATAACACAATAAATGAAATGAAAGTTTATAAAGTCCATGTATGATGCATATACCAAAAAATGTCAACCAAAAAAGTATAATGTTGGAAATCTATAGATTGAAATCGTGTAATATGAGGTCTATAACACAATATAAATGAAATGAAGGTTTATATAGTCCATGTAACTTTTGCATATACCAAAAAATGTCAACCAAAAAAGTATAGTGTTGGAAATATATAGATTGAAATCATGTAATATAAGGTCTATAACACAATATAAATGAAATGAAGGTTTATATAGTCCATGTATGATGCATATACCAAAAAATGTCAACCAAAAAAGTATAGTGTTGGAAATATATAGATTGAAATCATGTAATATAAGGTCTATAATACAATATAATTGTATGAAATATAATATGATGCATATACCAAAAAATGTCAACCAAAAAAGTATAAGGTGTATAATATAATATAATATAATATAAGATTGAAATCATGTAATATAAGGTGTATAATATAATATAAGTGTATGAAATATATTATGAAATGTGGTTATAAAGTCCATATATGATGCATATACCAAATCGTGTAATATAATGTTGGAAATCAATAAATGTATGAAATATAGTATGAAATATGGTTAGAGTAATTCATGGGAAGAGAGAAAAATAATTAATGGGAAAATAGAGAATAATTAATGGCTAGAGTAATTAATGGAAAGAGAGAGAATAATTCAGGTATATGCAATATGTGATATGATTTGTAACAAACTGATATATATATATATATAGATGTAAGACGAAAATAAATTACCAAAATGTCATTAATGAAGGGTGCACACAACTTCCGTCAGTCGATTTTTGAAGGGTGCCTTCATTTTTAATAGTATAGATCCCTTATATACTAAAAGAGATCATTTAAAAAGTTGTAACCTT